GGGGTTAACTTTATTATTCAGTGAAAGGGTTAACTGTGTGAGGGGAGTGTTTTACTAGGGGGCGGGGTGTGTACTGCACGGGACACCGCTGATCGGGAGAGATAAACTCTTCTCTCCTGATCAGCCTGTCAGGAGCTGACCCGTCAGGGAACTGACAGAGAGCAGAGCTACTGCAGCCCTGCTCTCTGTCAGTGATTGCCGCTAATCGCCGGGACACAGCCAAAAAAGATCGGCTGTGACCCGGTGACTGCTAGAAAAAAGCCTGATAAAAAACGCTAGTAATAGCGTTTTTTAGTAGAGTTTTAGTAGCGTTCAGAAGTGTTTAGGAGTTTTAGTGCTTTATTAGCATTTTTACAGTACATGTAGAAAAAATCTAGAAAAAGTCATTAGGAGCGTTTAAGTAGCTTTGCAACGTTTAGGAGCGTTTAGCGTTTTTTTCTGCTAGAAAAACACTCTAAAAACAACTTTTTTTCATCTCCTAGATGCTGAAGCTCACAAAATGCTAATAACCTAAAGTAGTGTGCATGGACACACAGGATAACACTATTTAGCTTCTAAAAAAAAAATAGCTTCTAGGAGCTAAAAAAAAAAACACTAGTGTGCATGGAGCCTGACAAGGTGATATATGGGCTTGTAAAGGCATTTTGGTCCACAGAAAGTGGATTTATATACTTTGTACCCATTGTACCCATTGAGGAACAGATTTGAAATTAAATGTTTTGTCTCTGGAGTTTAACTTTAACTCCTTGATACCGATTGCACGCAAGTCAGTGCCACTCAGCGTCCGGGCCTTGAAGTCGAGCGGCCGCATATTTTGCGTGCAATTAGAATTACATATGTGCTGAGAGCGCATCCCAGCACGTGCTGTGACCTTGAAAGAAAAGAAAATTCTTGGCTCCGAAAATTATTTTCTGTAGCAAAATGACGTGAAATTAAAGACTTGGTTGGTCAAATTTCGAAATCAATGGTGGCACCATCAGATTAAAAAATGCACGAAATTTCTGATTTGTTTGGAATTCGACCTATGAATGGCCTGCATTAGCTAGACAAATGTATTGGGATTGTTTAAATTAAGGTCATAATAAAGACTGTTTGCTTAGCAAAGTGAATAATAATTTCAGAAAGTTTTCTTCACAAAATTAAATGCAATTGGATGATTAAAGTAAAGACAGCTTCACCTTATGCACTAAGTTTAGTGAACATTATTGTTCTTAAGTTAGCAGTCTCTAGTTCCTCAGTAAATCATTCCCATTGTGTCCATACTGTCATCACCTCCCAGTTGGTGTAAAGAGATAGATATTTTTGCTTTGGGATTGTTAAGTTAGTCAGCTATTTGAACATGTGATCTATAATGAATTCAGTAAACATACCCTTATGGGTAGTGCATTGTTTTGCTTACTTTTCATTCATGTTACATTGTTGTTTTGTGATGGCTGAGATGTGGAAATTTAAGAAAGATAAGGGTTTCTTTGAGACTCACAAAAACAAGTTCAATATGACACTTAAATCGGCACTGACCTAAACATTTTTATTAAATCTAAAATGCTAGATTATGATCTCAGAGGTATTTATTGTTTTTCTTGTGTTTTTTCTTTTTTGTTTTTTTTCCTATGCAGGAAGCTTATGAAGTCTTTTTATCCTAACCTGCATTGCTTAATTAAACTGAACTCTGGGCAGAACATGAACTTCCTCCTTCCCACCCGCCTCTAAATGATATCTGGAATGAAATAAGTGAACTAATTAAACTTTTTACTTATTTAAAACCATAACAAACTCATGCAGACTCCACCTCCGCAACATGCAGACTCCACCTCCGCAACATGCAGACTCCACCTCCGCAACATCGCCAAAATCCGCACGTTCATAGCCCCAGAAACCACTAAACAGCTCATCCACTCCCTCATCATATCACGACTCGACTACTGCAACTCCCTCCTCACTGGCCTGCCTCGCCGCTGGCTATCCCCACTTCAGTCCATCCTGAATACGGCTGCCAGACTCATTCACCTTTCCAACCGCTCCATCTCTGCCACCCCCCCCTCTGCCAATCCCTCCACTGGCCTCCACTCAGTGTCCTCCACCCCCCTCTGCCAATCCCTCCAATGGCCTCCACTCAGTGTCCTCCACCCCCCTCTGCCAATCCCTCCACTGGCCTCCAGTCAGTGTCCTCCACCCCCCTCTGCCAATCCCTCCACTGGCTTCCAATTGCGCAACGGATCAAATTCAAAATCCTAACACTGACATACAAAGCCGTCCACCATACTGCCCCGAACTACATCACTGACCTAATATCCAAGTACCACCCAACACACACACCCCGCTCCTCACAAGACTTCCTTCTCTCTAGTTCTCTGGTCTCCTCCTCCCATGCCCGCCTCCAAGACTTCTCCAGGGTGTCACCCATCCTCTGGAACTCCCTGCCCCAACCCATCAGATTATCACCTACTCTCCTCTCCTTTAGGCGCACCCTGAAAACCCATCTCTTCAGGGAAGCCTACCCCACCCCCTGCTAACTTGCCAACCTCCTCCACTCTTCCTACCACCCCATCCCCCACATCTCCTCCTGTGCCACCATCCCCTCCCTCCTAGATTGTAAGCTCCAAGGAGCAGGGCCCTCGATCCCCTCATGTTTTGCATTGTATTGGTATTGTTCTGTCACATGTTCTGTCCCCCTCTGTAATGTACAGCGCTGAGCGAACTATTGGCGCTTTATAAATACTGTATAATAATAATAATAATAATAATAATGACCTCACAATGCTTCAGTCCCGAGTCTTCTTTCCTCTTCTGTTTCCATGAACTGGGGTCCTTCTTCCGTTGTACACTTCACTATCTGCGTGACATAGAATTTTCCTATTGGCTGCCCAACAGTGGAGTTTTTTCAGGATCCAGAAGAGGAGTAACATCAGCATGTGGAGATGGTCGGGGACTGGCCTGCTTCGTACATTAAGAAAAAGAAAAACATTCTGGGTGAGGTAGAGGGACAAAAAGAAAAGAGTAGGAGAGGTTTTACATTTTGCTTTGAGTTGGGATTAGGTAAATTGAATCTTATACATTGAGTTTTATATTGATCTGATTCTACTTAAAGTGGTTGTAAACCCCAAAAAATCAAAATTTAAATGTCTACTATACCTCACAGTGCATAACAGTATAAGTCATTTGTCTGTTGCCTGGCCAAGAAAGGAGCAGCCAATCATCTGAAATTCTCTGTGCTTTCCTATGGTAAAAAAACCTGACACATGAAAAACAAATTGTGCCGCCACACCACCTCTCCTGTGACTGGCAGACTAATTAGAAGTCTCATGCATGAGAGAAATTGCTGAGCTCGGGAATTACTCAGCAGACCATGCCAACATTATGTGCCTATCTCTACTAACAGAAGAGGAGGGGGGATACATGATTTTACAGGTCATCATTATCAACTAACGTGGGGGGGTTACAAACAGCCTCACATAGATTTAACCCCACAGCTTCCAGGGAGAAAGTCGAGCAGGAGGTTCACAATTAACCCCTCAATGACTGGCCATTTGTACTGTGCAACTATTGGGCATTACTTGAAAGTAGGACACTACAGTAAAAGTGCCCAACCATTGAGGGGTTAATTGTGATCCACGGGAGCTGTGGGGTTAAATCTGTGTGATGTTGTTTGGCTCCTGTTAGTTGATAATGATGACCTGTGAAAGCATGAATCCTCCCCTCTCCTCCTCCTCCAATAGTAGCGATAAGCACATAGTGTCAGCAGGGTCCCACTGAGTAATTCCTGACAGTTGCTCAGCTCCCTCCAGCCTATGAAAGTCTTTAGTCTCTTGTGCCTCAAATGTTGCCCAGTGTTTATGGGATAACTGTGATAACTCCGTCTCCTCAGGCTGGAGCTGACTCCTAATTAGTCTGTCAGTCACAGGAGAGGAGATGTGGTGACACAAATTTTTTCATGTGTTGTGTTTTTTCACTGTAGGAAAGCAGAAAGGATTTCAAATGATTGGCTGCTCCTTTTTTAGCCAGACTAGGGACAGACGACTTCTGCTGCTATGCTGTGTGAAGTAGGCTGATCCAGGGGCGGACTGACCATTTGGAAACTCGGGCACTGCCCGAGGGCTCGGGGTCAGTAGGGGGCCCCATGAGATGCCCCTGGTACCTTTTTCATTGGCTTTTTTGAGTTTGGGCAAGGACACAGGGGCCCCATGATCCCCTATTGCCCGGGGGCCCCATGAGTTGTCAGTCCGCCCCTGGACTGGTCATTTCAATTTTGATTTTGTTGGGGTTTCAACCACTTTAAAGACTATGTAAACCCAACATTTCATATTCCTGAATGTCCCTGCTGTACCATGTATTTGTATGATAAAGTATCCTGTTCTCTTTGTATTGCTTCCTTTGTGTGAAATCCCTAACAGTCCCTCTGATTTACTATTAAAATCTGACTACACTAGGCATGAGAGCACAGCATAGTCATTTTTGTAGCTTTGCTGGGAATTCAGTCTGCTTTTCTCCAGTGATCAAACTTCTGCTGACACTCCTTCCCCTTCCCTGCACAGTCATTCACTGGGAAGATCAATGTAATGCGAGTTCCTTATGTAGCTGAGAACAGAGGCTATGTGATCACTTCTATAACAAGGGTAAAAAAGATATTTATAATGTTTTTTTATATATATACACATATGTTTTGCCTTTCATTTCTGTTTTAATTTGAATGAGATGTTTTACAAAGTGGGGAGTTACATATATTTTAAAATCTTACACAAAAAAATGCATTAAAGCTTTTACTGCTGTCATTAACTAGTAGCCAACCGCAGATAGCCGAATGATGGTTTCACTGCGGCTGGCCAGTTCTGAGTGGACGTCATATGACGTCCCACCAGAACGCGCTCTCCTGCGCGCCCCCAGGGGCGCGCACCCGGCGATCTCCGTGATCGCTGTGTCCTACGGACACAGCTGATTACGTGATGTGGTAAAAGGCCAATCACAGCGGCCTTTTACCACCTGATCAGCGGTGTCCAATGACACGCTGATCAGAGGGAAATGCAAGTGCCGGTTCTCGTGAGGAAAGTACTGCCAAGAACCAGCAGTTGTCAGAGCGGGGATCGGCACCGTTCATCAGGGCACTGATGATCAGTGCCCTGATGATCGGTTCCCAGCAGTGCCACCCGCAAGTTCCGCCCATCAGTGCGCCCACTAGCTCCGCCCACCTGTGCCCAGCAGTGCCCCCACCTGTGCCCAGCAGTGTGCCCCACCTGTGCCCAGCAATGCACCCACCTGTGCCCAGCAATGCACCCACCTGTGCCACTCTGCAATGTCACACACCTGTGCCCAGCAGTGCCACCTACCTGTGCCCAGCAGTGCCACCCACCTGTGCCCACCCACCTGTGCCCACCAGTGCCACCCACCTGTGCCCACCCACCAGTGCTGCCCACCAGTGCCACCCACCAGTGCTGCCCAGCAGTGCTGCCAGTCAGTGCCACCAGTCAGTGCCCAGTGGTTGTGCCAGTCAGTGCCGCCAGTCAGTGCCCAGCAGTGATGCCAGTCAGTGCCGTCTATCAGTACCCATCATCAGTGTCACCTATCAGTGCCGCCTATCAGTGCTGCATATTATTGCCGCCTATCCGTGACACCTCATTAGTGCTGTCTATCAGTGCCGCCTATCCGTGCCACCTCATTAGTACTGCCTATCAGTGCCCTTTAGTGCTGCCTATCAGTGCCCATCAGTGCTGCCTATCAGTGCCCATCAGTGCTGCCTATCAGTGCCCTTTAGTGCTGCCTATCAGTGCCCATCAGTGCTGCCTATCAGTGCCCATCAGTGCCGCCTATCAGTGCCCATCAGTGCTGCCTCATCAACGCACATCAGTGAAGGAGAAAAATTACCTGTTTGAAAAATTTTATAATAGAAACAAAGAAACTTTTTTTTTTTCAAATTTTTGGCAATTGTTTATTTATAGCGCAAAAAGTAAAGCGCCCAGTGGCGATTAAATACCACCAAAAGAAAGCTCTATTTGTGAGAAAAAAATGATCAAAATTTCATATGGGTACAATGTTGCATGACCGCGCAATTGTCAATCAAAGTGCGGCAGCGCTGAAAGCTGAAAATTGGCCTGGTAAATAAGGGGGTATAAGTGCCCGGTAGGCAAGTGGTTAAATGTTTTTTGACATATTTTTCTGTTGAAGAATATATTAATTTCTGAGAACCTCCCCACTGTAGCTATGTGACGTTATTATGTTTATAACCATGCCGATTTTACCATCGATGTGCTCCTTCTTTTTATTTTGTTCTCTTTTCAACGTGTTCTTTGTATATGTATATATGTGGAAATCAATAAAAAATTGTTAATACAGAAGAATATATTAATTTGTCCAAGCCTGAACATTTTTTCTGAGCATGAGAGATTAAATAAATGTCTATAAGTTAGAAATGCCATACTGATAGAACACCAACTTCTTTCTATGCAATGAATCTCCTCTTTTGCCCATTCTCATTCTTGCCCATTAGATTAACTTTAGTAGACACACTGGATCTAAAATGTCAAAGACAAGACAATAGGGATTTATATCAGCTTTATTTTTTTTTTATTTCCCCTTGCTATCTAGGTATAATCTCCAACTCCTGTTACCATAAAATGCATCATTTCAGATGTTCAGAAATATAATGGGACATGTCTAACATAATTGATAAATGCAAATACTCACATCCACAGCACTGCTCAAGGCCTCTTCTCTTATGCTGCATGAACAATCAGGATGCTGACTCCTGTAGCCCACTCACCATCTAGAAATCAATTCAAACTCCAATGTTAGCTCCTCTTGCTTAATAAATACGCTGTATCCACGCTATCTCCACTCAAAAAACAAATTTTCTTGACGTGTTTCACAGCTCCCATGTTGCTCACAAAGAGGAGCAAAGAAGCGTACCAAGGAAGTTTGGTTTTTGGTTGAAGATAGCGTGTATATAGTGGTGCCACCTCCCCTTCCCGCCCCCTCTCTGGCGGGGTCCCCCAAGGTTCTGTCCTTGGACCCCTTCTCTTCTCCATCTACATCTCCTCCCTTGGCAAACTCATACACTCCCACGGCTTCAACTATCACCTCTACGCTGATGACACGCAACCTCTCCAACCCTCACCTCACCCCCGCATTCTCCGCCCGCATCACTCACCTCCTAAACGACATCTCTGACTGGATGTCGCTCCATTTCCTCAAGCTTAACCTCTCCAAAACCGAGCTCCTCATCTTTCCCCCTGCCCATACCCCCCCCCCCCCCCATCCTATCCATCACTACCAACAACACCACCATCAATCCCGCCCCGCAAGCCAAAGTCCTTGGCGTCATTCTGGACTCTAACTTTTCCTTCCAACCTCATGTAAAATCACTTCCAAACACGTGCAGGCTCCACCTTCGCAACATCGCCAAAATACGCTCCTTCCTTACCCCAGACACCACTAAACTACTCGTACACTCCCTGATTATCTCACGCCTGGACTACTGCAACTCCCTTCTCACCGGCCTACCCCAGTTCAGGATCTCCCCGCTCCAGACCATCCTCAACTCAGCGGCTAGACTCATCCACCTCACCAACCGCTCCACCTCTGCCACCCCCCTCTGCCTATCACTTCACTGGCTCCCGATTGCCCAACGCATCAAATTCAAACTACTCACTCTGACCTACAAAGCCATTCACAACACTGCCCCTAACTTCCTCACCAACCTGACTCCCTAGTACCACCCTACCCGTACCCTTCGATCCTCAGAGGAGCTCCTTCTATCTTGCTCTCTGGTCTACTCCTCCCACGCATGACTGCAAGACTTCTCCAGGTCCTCCCCCATCCTCTGGAACTCACTACCCCAATCCATCAGACTGTCGCCTTCCCTCCTCACCTTCAGGCGCTCCCTGAAAACCCATCTCTTCAGGGAAGCCTACCCCTCCCTCACCTAACAGCCGTTCTCCTTCATTCCTCCTACCACTCCATCCCCCACAGCTATCTCCTCCGGTACCACTACCCCCTCCCTCCTAGATTTCAAGCTCGAAAGAATAGGGCCCTCTAACCCCTCGTGTGCTGTTTGTTGTTGCTGTTCTGTTTCTTGTATTGTCCCCCCCTCTATTGTACAGCGCTGAGTAAACCCTTTGGCGCTATATTATTATTATTATACAGTATTTATAAGGCGCCGATAGTTCGGCTCAGCGCTGTACATTACAAAGGGGGACAGAACATGTGACAGAACAATACCAATACAATGCAAAACATGAGGGGATCGAGGGCCCTGCTCTTTCCAGCTTACAATCTAAACTCGATGTAATAATATTACCGATTATTTGTTGATTGTATAGTAAATACAGCAAAAGTTGCTAACATTGAAGTGTGTGTTCTTATGTTTTTTGATTTCTTAAAGGAAAATGTTACATTTGTAACAATGGTAAGATTAGCATATTAAACTTAGTCCAACCATAAATAGCAAAATGACATTGAATTTTTCCATGAGTTCTTGTGCAAATTCAAGTGTATGTTTTTCTTAGCATTTTAGTATGTCTATAGCTTCCCTGTTTGTCAGCATTGTCAAACACAATTTACCAAGTGTGCTAAACATACTCAACTTGCATTTAAATATCTTAACATATGCCTGCGGGTTGAACATTATTTGCTAATTATAATGCATATGTAGAAAATGTGTCGGTGTTTAGAAATGCACTCGTGCATTCGGCATATTCCATATACATATGTAAAATTGTATAATATCAGAATAGTTTGTATTAATATGTTGTCTAAACTAATAACTTTCACTGTTTCCATATTGTTTAAGTCTACTGTTGTCATAACTATACAAAAGAACATTTTGTACCTGAAGGCATTTCTGTCATGTACTTAACAGTAAACTAATTGTGGAAATGTATTTAAGGCTCAAGGTGCAGATCCAGAGCAATGCATATAAATTACAGGCCAAGATTATGGATGAGGTTCAGGTTCACTGCTATGATGGGATTGAGGTGAATCCTGAGTATTTGAGGCTTACAGTTCTACCAATTCCATAGTGCATTTTGTATCGCTAAATTGTTTGTTACTATAATGCACTGCATGGATGTGAATTTATGTTAGCTATCTGACGGGCCAAAAATAGAGGGCAAACTCCCACCACTGCAGGGGCGGACTGACAACTCATGGGGCCCCCGGGCAATCGGGGATCATGGGGCCCCTGTGTCCTTGCCCAAACTCAAAAAAGCCTATGAAAAAGGTACCAGGGGCATCTCATGGGGCCCCCTACTGACCCGGGCCCTCGGGCAGTGCTGAGTTTCCAAATGGTCAGTCCGCCCCTGGTTATGGCTTCTGCTGAAACATAATGCTTGAAAACTAGAATTCAATCAGCACTTACAGCCAATGGCTGCAAGAGATGATCTATGTATCCTGGCGGAGGAGGAGTCCCCCCCTTGTCAAAATACAAGTGCGCAGTAAGGGAGATTTCCGCATCACACATCTGGCCATAGCAGGGGCGGACTGACAACTCATGGGGCCCCCGGGCAATAGGGGATCATGGGGCCCCTGTGTCCTTTCCCAAACTCAAAAAAGCCTATGAAAAAGTTACCAGAGGCATCTCATGGGGCCCCCTACTGACCCCGGGCCCTCGGGCAGTGCCCGAGTTTCCAAATGGTCAGTCCGCCCCTGCACCACTGTAATATTGAGGTGTGACAAGGGTTAATAGAACTAAGGGGTTGTGACAGGTACTCCTCAAGAGTGCCTGACTATACTTACCCTTTCCACCCAGCTGCTTCGCTCATCAAATCCATTACTACAGCTACAAGAATCTACAGGTTTACCTCGGTTTACGAACGCCTCGGTTAACGTAAGTTTCGGTTTACAAATGAAAATCCAATGAAAATAATGCCTCAGTTTACAAAGTTTTTACTAATTTTTTTTGCAATACGAAGTGTTGTCGGTGCCGATTTTTAAATGCAATTACCGGCAGTTTTTTCTTCACTATAGCTCACAGAATTAGCTGTCACTTTTCCTGGAGCTAAAGGATACGTTGTTTCTTTTATCTTGGGAAATAAATTAAAAGGAAACATTGTTTCTTTTAACTCGGGGAAATAAACTAAAAGGAAACATTGTTTCTTTTAGCTGGGGGGAAAGTGACAGCTGATTCTCTGAGCTATAGTGAAGAAAAAAAAAAGTCGGTAATTGCATTTAAAAATGGGCACTGACCTATAGTGACAGCGATTTTTTTTTTTACTGTTTTCTGACCTCCAGAACGGATTAATTGGTTTTCAATGCATTCCTGCGGGAAACCGCATTTCGGTTTATGAATTTTTTGCCATACAAAACGTATTAAATTTGTAAACTGAAATACACCTGTATTATTATTATTATTATAATGGATCAGGGCACTGCCCGAGGGCCCGAGGTCACTAGGGGGCCCCATGAGATGCCCCTGGTACCTTTTTCATAGGATTTTGAGTTTGGGCAAGGATACAGGGGCCCCATGATCCCCTATTGCCCAGGGGCCCCATGAGTTGTCAGTCCGCCCCTGTAAAGGATTTATATAGCACCAACAGTTTGCGCAGCGCTTTACAAAATGAAGGTAGACATTACAGTTACAATACAATTTGGTACAAGAGGAATCAGAGGGCTCTGCTCGTTAGAGCTTACGATCTAGGAGGAGGGGTTGAGTGATACAAAAGGTAATAGCTGTGGGGGATAAGCTGATGGAGGAAATAAAAGGCAGTTTACTAGTTAGAAGAAAGATAGGATTCTTAAAAGAGAAAGGTTTTCATGGATCCTCTAAAGGTGGATAGATTAGGAGATAGCCAGACAGATTGGGATAGGGAGTTCCATAGGATGGGAGAAGCTCGGGAGAAGTCCTGGAGATGAACATGGGAGGAGGTGACACGGGAACTAGAGAGCAGAAGGTCTTGGGAGGATAGAAGAGAGCAGTTTGGTTGATATTTTGAGACAGGTTGGTGATTTGGCTGGGGACAGAGTTGTGGATGGCTTTGTAAGTTGTTAGTATTTTGAATTTTATTTGTTGGGGCGAGTGGAAGCCAGTGGAGGGATTGGCAGAGAGGGGTGTGGAGGACACTGAGTGGAAACCAGTGGAGGGATTGGCAGAGAGGGGTGGAGGACACTGAGTGGAAGCCAGTGGAGGGATTGGCAGAGGGGGGTGGAGGACACTGAGTGGAAACCAGTGGAGGGATTGGCAGAGAGGGGTGGAGGACACTGAGTGGAAACCAGTGGAGGGATTGGCAGAGAGGGGTGGAGGACACTGAGTGGAAACCAGTGGAGGGATTGGCAGAGAGGGGTGGAGGACACTGAGTGGAAACCAGTGGAGGGATTGCCAGAGGGGGGTGGAGGACACTGAGTGGAAGCCAGTGGAGGGATTGGCAGAGAGGGGTGGGAGGACACTGAGTGGAAACCAGTGGAGGGATTGGCAGAGGGGGGTGGAGGACACTGAGTGGAAGCCAGTGGAGGGATTGGCAGAGAGGGGTGGAGGACACTGAGTGGAAGCCAGTGGAGGGATTGGCAGAGAGGGGTGGAGGACACTGAGTGGAAACCAGTGGAGGGATTGGCAGAGGGGGTGGAGGACACTGAGTGGAAGCCAGTGGAGGGATTGGCAGAGAGGGGTGAGGACACTGAGTGGAAACCAGTGGAGGGATTGGCAGAGGGGGGTGGAGGACACTGAGTGGAAGCCAGTGGAGGGATTGGCAGAGGGGGGTGGAGGACACTGAGTGGAAGCCAGTGGAGGGATTGGCAGAGAGGGGTGGAGGACACTGAGTGGAAACCAGTGGAGGGATTGGCAGAGAGGGGTGGAGGACACTGAGTGGAAGCCAGTGGAGGGATTGGCAGAGAGGGGTGGAGGACACTGAGTGGAAACCAGTGGAGGGATTGGCAGAGAGGAGTGGAGGACACTGAGTGGAAACCAGTGGAGGGATTGGCAGAGAGGGTGGAGGACACTGAGTGGAAACCAGTGGAGGGATTGGCAGAGAGGGGTGGAGGACACTGAGTGGAAACCAGTGGAGGGATTGGCAGAGAGGGGTGGAGGACACTGAGTGGAAACCAGTGGAGGGATTGGCAGAGAGGGTTATCAGACCCTGAACAGTTGGTAAGGTGGATGAACCTGGCATTTTTTTTTTTAGGTAAACGGAGGCTTTAACATTTAGCAATCCATTTTAATAAAAAATATTGTTGGCGGTAGTAGGAGGTGATCAGGCTCTGTAGGACAAAGTAGTGGTTGGCCACACCATCTGGAGAAATGGCACATCTGCCTTTTCCATCTCATCCCATTTCATGTTATGCACCAGAGCATACACAGTTTGTACACTGGCTTGCCTTGCAGCTAGTGTGTTGTCTCAAAGGACCTTCAACACAGCAGTAACTTTTTATGGAGAGACAAATCTACTTCTCCTCCAAAAGTGTGGAGAGGCTCACTTTCATTAAAATGTAGAAGTTCTGGATCACCAATGGCCATAAAATCCCTGATGCTAAAGCTACAGAATAAACTTTTAATTGTCATTCACTCCACCCTCTCCCCAAAAAAATATTCATACCACCATTACTAGCTCCTGCCTCCTGCAAATATTTTTACAGCTGGATGAGTAAATCTTGCATTGTAACTCAAAGTTTGCTAAATGTCCTCCTTGGCACTGCCCAGGGGCTTTGATGTAATTTTTAAGGATCTTTGAGACTGAATAACTTTACTGTACATTTGAGCAGCTGGAGAGAAAATTATATATATTTATTTCACTTTAAATATTTTTATTGAAACAAAATGTTGAGTAACAACATATTTCAGGTTTGGGATCATCATTAAGACATAGAAAGTGTCTTACAATACACAAAAAAAGACCAAGAGCAGCATGAGGAGGTTCAAAACATCATATACAGGGATTTGGCAAAAAAGCAAAACATGCTGTATTTTAGATGAGTACTCCTGATACATATAGATGACATTATAATAAGCATTAATCCCTATGTATAATAGAACCCTTGAAGTATAATCACTCATAGGAAGCACAGATAAAATACTCAAGAGAAAAAAAAGAAACAAAGCAAGAAGAGAGAAAAACAGAAAAGGAATAGACCTCCCGAAGACCCTGGAACTGTAGATAAACAAAAAGTCAGCTGGATTTGCATATATTTGGGCCAAAGGTCCCAAGTCTTTTCAAATTGCTTCACCTGATCATTAATTGTGCTGGATATCTTTTCATGGCGCATAATCCATGAGATCTTGTGTTTGACACTTCTTAAGATGTTCCCACTATGTATATTTTGGCATCAAGAAAGATAAAGAAAATTAGTCTTGCTTACTGCAAAAAATATCAGGTACTGGTTCTTTCAGTAAAGCTAAGACAGACCAGTGGCAAGTGGCAGGTCAAGGAAAAAATCATATTCCAAAATTCCTTTACCTTGGGGCATTCTCACTAAATGGACACATAGTCCCCAGTAGTGAGAATCCGCTAAAATAAAATGGAGAGGAGTCAGGATACAGTTTAGCTAAATGATAAGGGACCATCTAGTCAATACTTTAAGATTGGCCTTGATCAGAGAAACATTCAGAATTCCCCTAAATGGAGACTGAAAGTGTTGCCACATATCCAAAATCCAGTTCAACAGAAAGGTCTCTGTCCAAATCTATCATATATGGTAGTTTTTGTATAGAGTTGCATAGGAGCCTGTAGATCTTTGACCCCAGACCTCATTCTTTGGGAGAAGAGGGGGTTCCAAAGTATCAGATCTTAAAGATTTCTATAAGATCTGATCTATAAGATCTGATCTTATAGATCGGATCTTATAGATGCAAAAATCTCAGATTGGGGCATTTCAAGATTTGTAAGGTAGTGACGTATTGTAAAATAGTGTCCAATATGATATAGGCCTTTGTCAAGCTATCATTTGCCATTGCATCCAACCCTGGAGGGAATTTGGGTTATTAAATATATGGACCTTTGGAGTGAACTCCAGAAATAAATAAAAGTTTTATGAGTCCACAACCTATCCCAGAGGGCCAAAGAGATCAACAGCGTTGGAGCTTATCTGTAGTAACGTCCAGCGCTTAGACTAGGTATACAATTTGTAGTTCCCTTCCGCAGTCACATAGAATGTCCTATGCTGGTAATTTCCTTCAGTTCTTCCTATGCTCTCACCAAATAATAAAGCTGATCAAGTTCTTCAATCCATGCGTGAATGTGTGAATCATTCCCTCCTCTTCTCCTAAGATGACTCTCTCACCATGTAAAAATACATACAAAAAAATATAATACAATAAAACATATAGTGCATTATCTGCCTAAATCACAATTCAAAATGTGTATTAAACTCACAGGAAATAAACAAAAATTGTGCCAAACTTAACCACCACGTGATCACACTCTAATATCTGTCATCTGTACACTTACCCTCCAATCAAACATATCTTGAATCAATATAAATCAACTTTGCATCACTCTTCATTTTTCTTGCTTCCAAATCAACTGATGACAAGCTTGTACTCTTACAATCGGGTGTCGTCTTAAGGGGGTTTCCACATTACAAAATCTGTAGTGAAAGATCAAATAGCATGCCTTTCAATAGTTACCCAGTCCAGGGGCAGACTGACCATTTGGAAATTCGGGTACTGCCCGAGGGCCGGGGTCAGTAGGGGGCCCCATGAGATGCCCCTGGTACCTTTTTCATAGGCTTTTTTGA